CTCTTTTGTCTTATTGATGAGCTGAGCCATCGAGCAATAAGACAAAAGAGGGAATCTAATCGTTATGAAAAGGAGACCAAAAAAGTGGCCTCTGATGGCGGACATATCCGGAAATGCAAATGCGCCAAATTTAAATTTCATGACACCTGACAATAATCATACAGTGGTGTAGGGGTTCTAATTGATCTAATTATTTATTTTATATTACATAATATTGTATTTATATTACATAATATTGTATATTATCTATTTATTTATTAAAAAACTTTTTTTAACACTAGAACACAATAAAGTTTTAATTAATTAATAACGATAATAGTCTAAAATGTTAAACAATTGTTAAAAAACTTCAATAGAAAATATAACTAAGCTTTCATGTGACAGTTTTGACAAACAATAACATCAACAATAACATAACCCAACTAAATTTGATTTCTTAAACAAGGAAAGAGATTCTCTTTCTTTGTTTAAAGTAGCCTCTCAAAATAGCACTTCCTGTCTATCAATATGTTTACCCCCACTACCCTTACATTTCCTCGTTTGTCTTATTGCTCGATGAGCTGAGCACACGGGATTCTCACAAAATTTTTAGTCGACTTTGGCATCGTTTTTATAAAACTGAAAGGCGTGCAACTAACATTCTGAATCAGAATGTTAGTTAGAATGTTAGAACTAATTTTTAGTTTTCACCACTAGAAAGCAACTTTCCACATGCTTGCAAAGTACGCACCATGATACTGTAGATCGAATTACTAGAAAAAATTGTCTATAAAACCAAACTCTATTGTTGATGACTATTTTTTATTACCGTTTCCAAACTTAAATTAAACAAAATTGTTGATAATGGGGCTTACTGCTTTTTTGACGTCTTCGATTCAATATACCTTCATTTTTGATGCAGCTAAAGTTTTCGCAAAGCATCAGATCTCCTTTTTTGTCAATTGGGAAAATAAGTGCGTTACACCATTTTGCTTTAATCATTTCTTTCTCCAAAAAATGCGTAATAAATTTAGCTTGTCTCTTTTTTAACAGATTTTCATCTGCTTATAACATTTCCAAATTTATTTGGTTTTGCAATATGTTCATTATTTCTTGTTCTGGTAGTTTCTATCAGGACATTATATGATTGCCCTCAATTAGCAGTGTTCTTACATACTCTTGGTCTAATAGCCGTTTTTTGCCTACTTTACTTAATAATCGAACGACTTAATTTGTTTAATTCTGAATTTTTTTTTATATCTTGATTTTTTTTGCCATGTATTCTCTGTTCAGCATTTTACATCTTTTCTTAAGATCTTTTCATTTTTCTCGGTAGTCCTGTTTTTTGTTCTCATTATGATTGAATATTACTGTTTCTCTTGCTTTGGATTTTTCTCTTACTTAGATCACTAAATACCTCATCAAATCACTCCTTCACTTCTTCGGACATGCTTTTATATCCAAGTACTTCGTTGTTTGCCTTCTCCACTACCTATTTTATTATTTTTTCGTTTGTTTGTAATGCTTGTTTAATTAAACTTTTTGCTGCTCATATTTTCTTCCTGTTTTCCTTCTGTAGTTTACTGCTGTCATCACGCTGGTTCAGTTCGTTTTTCTTTTTTATCCTTTTACTACGACAAATAGGTCCATTCTTTAAATTAAACTTCATTTTTTATTGTTAATTTTTTTTGTTTTTTAAAAGAATCGTTTGCTAGCATTTTTGTGTTTAAACAAATTGTGTTATATATTAAACAATCTAACACTACAAATGTATTATTATTTGTTTAAATAACTTGAACCTTGAATATAAACGTATTAAAAATTACCTAGATAAAATACCAAATAAGTTATACACTACTGAAATGTGAATTTTTGATGATCGACTTCATAAAATAACTTAAATTTACAACAAGATCGATTAGTCAGTTTTTGTCAGTGATGTAAATTTAAAAGATAAAAAATTAGAAATAAATGTATGTGCTGCTTATGGTTGCAATTCAAAAATGTATTTACTTCTTTTGATTTAAACAACAAGACTGTTGAATTTGAAAACGATTATATTATTTTTATATTCGGTTGTGGTATATAATGTAGAGTGTTAGCAAAAAATCTTTCAACAGTGAATAAAGCACATCTTCTTAGGGTGTCTGTCCGTTCCGAACGTTGGAGATCATCATGGCTGGTGGTTGCTATACTAAATAGCGTGTTGAGGTGTTTCTACACCATGCTCTCAGGTTAGCAAGCCAGAATATTCTTCTTCATCCTGGGGCCGCTTTCCCTTTAATTTTACCTTGCAAAATACATTAAATGAGCTCGTATTTGCTTTGATGTCTCATTATATGTCTTAAGTACTGCAGCTTACGACCCTTCACGATGTTGACCAAATTAGCGGTTGTGTTCATCCTCCGTACTTTTTCATTGGCGACTTTGTCTGTCTAGGATGAAGTCTGTTCTAGGGTGAGCTCATGGCTCTTGAACACAGAGCTCATAGTCAATAATACACTGTTTGCCTTTCCGATGCGACATTTAATCTCTTGGGTATTGTCCCACGACTCATTGGTTATAGTTCCCAAGTAGTTGTATTATGAGACACGTTCAATTCTCATTTGGTTCACATACAGATTTGCTCCAGTTATGTTTTCCTTGCTGATGATCATTAGTTTGGTTTTGCTGGTGTTTATATCCAATTCGTATATTCTACTTGTTTCCGTTATTTTGTTCATTAAGCTTTGCATGGTATTGGAAAGCAATATTGCATCATCTGGATACCGCAGGTTATTGAGCTTAACTCCATTTATTGAGATGCCTTTATCAATATCTTTTAGAACCTCTTCAAAAATGTGCTCCGAGCATAGATTGAATATCAATGGTGAAATTATGCACCCCTATCTTACACCCCTTAATATTTTGACCTGATCTATATATTCTCCATCTATTTGGAGCACCGCAAATTGATTCCAATATGGGTTAGCTATTATTTTTAAGCTTTTTCCGCCAATCCCTGTCCCTTTCAGCACTTCCATAATTTGTTTATGCCTGACTCTATTTAAAGCCTTCTTGTAGTCAATCCGACATGCAAAAACATTACAGCTGACATCTCTTCATTTCTAAAACAATACCTGCACGCTAAATAAAGCTTCCCTCATACCAACGGCGTTCATAAATCCAAACTAATTGGGCGCACTTTGTTATTCGCATTTCCGTAGATTCGTTTGTTGATGACTTTTAAAAACAGCTTTAGCAGATGGTTCATTAGGCTTATGGTTCTATAATCTTCACAAACTTTTGGTAGGTACGAACTTCGATTTAAGCCACTCTACTGGTATTTTTCCTGCCTTGAATATTTCATTAAATATTTCAGTTATTATTTTTATTTGTTCTGTATCTAATAACTTCAACAGTTCTGCAGGAATTTCATTAAGTCCCGGTGCCTTTCCATCCTTCATTTGACTGACAGCTGCCGTTATTTCTTCTGGTAGGATTTTAGGACCTGAAGTTTCTTCAACGGTGGGCTCTTTTATTGTTCTTAGATCATGGAAAAGTTTGTCCGAGTATTGTTCCCATACTTTCATTTTATCTTCTTTGGTTATGGCAAGATTGCCTTCATCATATGTTGCTTAAACGCTGTTGTTTTTTGGAAGTTTTCAGCTATTTCCACCTTTCGATGAACATTGAAGTTATCACATCGACTCTGATACTCCTCTATTTCTTGACATTGTTCTGTTTTGTGTTTGTCTTTGGCCTCTCCTATTTTTCTTTTGACGATGGTATGTATTCATTCTCTTATATTCTTGGAGATTTTCCTGTTTCTTTTTCTCTGATCCATAAGTTCAAGTATTTCATCGGTCATCCACGATTTCCTTTCTCTGTATCTTTCTTCAGGTGTTGATCTTTTATTTCTCTTATTGTTTCTTGTATTATGGTCAGACTTTCCTCTATAGTTATTGCATTTTTGCATTGTAGCACCTTTGTATTAAGGTTTTCACTCACCTTTAGTCGAACATTGGGATCTTTCAGTTTTCTAACATCATACTTCTTCAATCGACTTACTTGTAACCTTCTTTATTCTGACTTTAAAATTACCTACAACTGGTACATGATCAGAATGTATGTCTGTCTTCGGGTATGTGTTAACAGATGTACAGCTGTTCCCATAGCTGTTATTTACTATTATGTAATTAATCTGATTTCTTACAATCCTTCCCATAGAATCCTGTGGAGATTTCCAGGTGTACAGTTTCCTTGGGTGTAGCTTAAACCAGGTGTTCATTATTACTAACTGATTTGGTCCAAATGGTCCACCTGCAGATGATGTTTTGCTGGCCCCAACTTTGGCATTGGGAATAAAACACATAAATCAGGATAATTGTTATTTTAAATTTACAAATTAATACTTTATCATATCACCGATCTAGTCGATAACAAGCAGGATTCTCTTGAGCATGGATTGAACAAGGTTCAAGAAATATTCTTCTTCAATGGTCACGTATAACCTCATCAACTCCTATTTCAGCTGATTTATTTTGCTCGATTGACACTCTTGAACCTTATTTTTCATCATACTTTTCCACATTTTTCTCACAAGTTCAATAAATGTTGTTCTAGAATAGTCACATAGTTGATTGATCTCATTAATATATCCTTTGCCAAAAATTACAACTCTGTCCTTCCTTTATTTCGACTAAACGCACCCCATACCATTACACTTTCTGGTATTTGACAGTTTTAACTATGACTTTTTTCCATTGTTCAGATGTCCAATGCTAATACATTTTACATAAATCTAAATATCTAAATCACGCAAAATAAACTAAAAACTAAGCAATCAGTAAACTACAGACTGCCGCCGCGCCGTCGTAAGTACGTTATCCCCTCTCCCCTCAAATACGAAACAAGCGCAGATATAACGCATGCAACTTGTCTTGGAATTTAGTGATTTATTTGGCAATATAAAGATTTTTTGCCGGCACTGTATTTGTTCTCTTCTTGATGACGTTTTTTTTATTTGTTATTTTTTTTAGGTGTCGTAACAGGCCTACATCTAGCAGAAATGTGTTTTAGACAATACAAAAAAGTTCCCAGATTAATATTATGGATAATGGTGGAAATAGCTGTTATAGGATCAGATATGCAAGAAGTTATTGGTACAGCCATCGCTCTCTATTTGTTGACAAACAAATTGTAAGTATATCTTTGTCGTTTTATGCGAGAACGGTGTAGTAAAACCTTTTTTGATTGCTTTATATACTAACAGAGGTTAACCAAAAATTATCATATATGGTTGATAATATCAAATTTTACATTAAGTTAGGTTAAGTGAGGTAGAACCATTACATACAATACAAGATAGACTGATCGTTGCAATACTAGCCCGTTCACTTAATGAGGCAGAGAAAACTGTAGCAAAGTAGTCACTGAATCTGACTCTTTCTAATTTGCCAAGTTTATCAACCACGTGACCTTAATAACCAATAAGAAGGTCACGTGGTCTATAAACCCGGCCCATTAAACAGAGATGCGGGGACTGCTTTGCGTTAGCTTTCTTTGTCGCACTGGGGGAGCGCGACTGTATTGCAGCTATCAGTCTATTTGTATTAGTATTAGATGTTTATGGGCTTGCCATAATCACGGTGTCATCTGCATATCTTATGTTGCTAATAGATCTCCCGTAAATTATTAAAACATTAAGAAATGTTTATTTAGGTACACGTAGGAATACACGTTGTTCTCTAAAATTTCATATCGGGGCGGTGTATGCATCTAACTCCTTAAAAAATACTTCTCATCAAGCGACACTATTCCCTTCCCCAAAAAAAATTGTAAAACAAGTAGATTTGATAAAGTACATAAAAAAGAGTTTTTTTTACCTTTTTTTTAGTGAAAATATCAAGACAGTCTTTTCTAAAATGTCCGGTTGATAATTTTTATATTGTACTTACGTTGTCTATACTAGTTGATAGTTTAATACGAAATGTTGTTATAAAATCTCATTGGCTATTACAAGTTAAACATGATCTTTTTCTTTAAGTGCCGTCTCCCAATCTCAGGTTGGATATCATCATCACTATCTTTACTCTATCAACTGCTGCTCTGAAGAGTTCTCTAGAACTACATTTAAACCAGTCCCTTAAATTCTTCAACCATGACACTCCCTTTCTTCCTATACTCCTTTCTCCTCTTATCTTTTCCCGAATTATCAGCCTTAGCAGTTCATAACGCTGTCCCCTCATTACGTGTTCCAGATATTGTAACTTTCTTATTTTTTTTGTGTTTATTATTTTGCATTCTTTGCTCATTTCTCGCAATACTCCCGTGTTAGTTTTCTTCTGTATCCATGCTATTCTAAGCATCCTCCTGTAATACTACATTTCAAAGGACTGTAACTTATTTATGTGTTCTTGCTTCAATGTCCAGCTTTCAAGTCCATATTGCAGTATCGAAAACACGTAGCATCTCAATGCTCTTACTCTCAGTTTTAATCTAAGGTCTTTGTTGCAGAGAATTGGTTTCATTTTTACAAACGCATTTCTTGCTATTTCTATCCTAGCTCTTATTTCAGTTGTTTGATCATTATTGTCAGAAATCCAGGTTCCTAGGTATTTGTATTTATCAACCCTTTCTATCGGTACATTTCCCAAATGTATGTTTGTTGGTATATTAGTTTTCTTTGTTATTACCATGTATTTGGTCTTTTTTATATTCATTTTTAGTCCATATTTTTCACAGAAACTGTTTGTTTTGTTTAGCAATAATTGCAGTTGTTCAGCAGAGCTTGAAATACTCACGGTGTCATCTGCATAACTTATGTTGTTAATAGATCTTTCGTTAATTATTTTTCCTTCACTTTGAGATAGTAATGCTTCTTCAAAAATGGCTTCACTACATAAATTAAATAGCAATGAATAACTTTTCTCCTAATTTAAATTTTAGACAGGGTTCGTTTCTACTACGAATTGTGCTCTTTAGTGTACATTATGAGAAATGGAGTGGGAGGTTATCTCTTGTGACGAAAGAATTGAAGACAAAAATTGATAACAAAATTCAGAAAAGACGGCAATTCACTTGAACCATTGCATGATTCTTCTCCATAAAGTTCCCGATTCCTTTTATATGAAATAGTGACAGCACTGTTAACAAATGAAGTTTGAGTTCTTACAAAACTCCTGAAATAAAACGACAATCCATTGAGTGACCCTCAAACAAAAAAAAAACGAATCTGAACACAAGAAAACTAATGGCAACTGTTTTATGGGATCGTAGGGGTTAAATCCATGTAGAGTTAATGTCTAGAGTAGATACAATAAATTCGTAAGCCTGTTGCGAAACACAAAGACTAAAACGTGCAATTCAGAATAAACGAAGTAGCAAGTTATCGACGAAGTTGTTTGTGATTCCCGACCATAGTCGACCATATGCATTGGCAAGAACTCAGCAATAACGCCTACAATGGAAAATTTTCGATCACTTTCCCCACAGCCCAGATCTCGCGCCTTCCTATTATCATCTGTTCCCGGAACACGAAGAAAGGAATTCTTGGGGGGAAAGGAGTTTGCAAACGATGAAGAGCTCAAAGACTAAGTGTTAACCCTGCTCAGACGTTTGTACTGGTCAATGTGTACTGTGACTATGTAAATGAAGTTTTGTGTTGATACAATTTGTATTAAAATTGTTATGCCAAAAGGTTTTTTACTTTCTGGATGACCAATGTATATTCTCAGTTTAAACAAAAAGGATAAAATTATTATAACTTAATTTTTTTTTTCAGCATACCCTTATGGTTGGGGTGCCTAATAACAATCTTTGACACGTTCACATTTCTCTTTCTGGACAAGTACGGCCTCAGAAAACTGGAACTTCTATTTGGATTCCTTATAGCTGTGATGGGTATTACCTTTGGTTACGAGTACATAGTAGCGCAGCCATCTTCAGCAGACGTGGCTAAAGGCCTCTTCATTCCAATGTGTCAAGATTGCGATTCGCAGGTATTGCTCCAAGCCGTCGGAGTAATAGGAGCCGTCATTATGCCGCATAACCTGTATTTGCATTCGGCTCTGGTGAAAAGCAGAGATATTGATAGGAGTAAACCAGCCAAAATTAAGGAAGCCAATATGTATTATTACATAGAGAGTGCTATAGCTCTTTTGTGTAGTTTAGTTATAAATATTTTTGTAGTTGCTGTATTTGCATATGGGTTGTTTCAGAAGTCTAACAGAGGATTGGTAAGATATAACGTTTTTGATATAATTAAGTTTTTAACTGATTTTTTTCTAGGTGGATCAATGTAAAACAACAAATAATAGTTATCTTTATAACCTGGCCGTTGAGGAATTTGGGGTAAATATCATTTATTATTCTATACTAATGTGTTTTAATTTAGATGTTTACTAAAACATTTATTTTTTCTATAATTTTTTTTCCATCGTTGATTTCTTTTTCTTTAAGTGCCATGTTTGTGACCAAACGTTGGCTACCATGATGTTTATCAGTTTTTGGAATGTTTGTCTCTCATCTATTGCGAGAAGTAGTTTTTCAGCTGTTATATCGCACTATTGTTTAATATAGTCTAATATCTTAGCCTCAGCTAAAAAAGTTCTTGGTAAAAGAAATATAGATAAAAAAAATCGTTTCGAAGGTGAAGGACTCCATGATTTTATACACAAGTGAAGGAAAAATCAAAATAAGAAATCAAACACTTGCACTTGTAAAAAGAATAAAACCCTAAAGCTCCAACTACAACTTAAATTTTACAAGAACTAATGATAATTTAAAGTTTGTGTAAATGGCTGTAGATCTAGAGTGCGGATAGGTAACAAGCTCTCAGAGTCGTTTGAAATAAACAGTGGACTGAAACAGGGAGACGCGCTGTCACCTCTTCTTTTTAATATAATCCTGGAAAAAGTAGTAAGAACAGCACAAATTAGAACAGAGCTACTGACAGTAAATGGACCAAAATTACTACTAGCATACGCGGATGACATTGACATTGTAGGAAATACCGTCACCAATGTAAAAGAAACCTTCAATAAATTAGAGAGAGAGGCAAAAAATACCGGTCTAAGGGTCAATGAAGAGAAAACCAAAATATATGTGCATTAACAGACAAAAGAGACGAGATAGAATAGGACAAAATGTAACAATAGACCCCTATAACTTTGAAAGAGTGGAGAGTTTTAAATATCTCGGAGCGACTATCACCACAGATAACAATATCACGGAAGATATAAAGGGAGATTTCAGGCAGCAAACAGATGTATGTATAGCCTCCACAACACTATTAAATCCAAGAGCCTAACACGAACATCAAAAATCAGGATATGTAAAACAGTAATTAGACCAGTGCTCATGTATGGGTGTGAGACGTGGACGCTGACAAAAGCAATGAAAAGTAAACTCAGATGCTTTGAGAGAAAAATCCTCAGAAAGATCTTCTGTCCCTATCACGATCCGAATACTAACCAATACCGAATGAGAACAAATGCCGAGGTCAAACAAATGTATAGTGCTAGCGACGTAGTCCAAGAGATTAAATCCCAACGTCTAAGATGGGCTGGCCATGTTCATAGGCTCCCTAATAACCGCCTTACCAAGTTAATCTGGGAAGAAGTCCCGACAGGGAGAAGGACCTTAGGACGTCCACGAATGCGATGGAGAGATAATATATGGTCAGATTTGAGAACAATGGGGCTACCCACTGACTTAAACATTATGGACGACCGTTCGAGATGGAAGCAGGTTGTGCAGTCAGCCAAGACCCACCCCAGGTTGTAGTGCTAGCAGAAGCAGAAGAATGATTCAGACGATAAGTTTAGCAAATAGTTTTTGAACAAGAGGCATGTGACAGAATAGGTCTTAAAGATCTGTATAATAGAGAAATTCCCCTAGAACTCATAAAAACTTTTGAAAACATCTACCAAAATAACAAAATGGAAGTCAGAATAGACGGACAACTTATAGAACCTATACACATAGGCAGCGAAATCACACAGGGGCATTCATTGAGCCCTAAGCTGTTTTTTTTATGTCATGGATAAAATCATCAAAAGTTTCAACAAAAAAGTGGAAAAAAATTAAAAAAAAGAAGTAAAAATATTCTGTTACGCAGACGATGCAATATTGACAGGCCAAGAAAAAATAGTTTGCAAAGGCTACTCCACAAATTAAACATAAGTGAAATTATTTAATATTACAATCTCAACTTAGAAAACTAAAACAATAGAAATCAGTAATAGCAAAGAACCAATCAGATATAAAATAGAAATCGATGGCATCAGTATTGAACAAGAAATGGAAATAAAATGGCTTGGAATTTAACTTCCCAGCTATTGAAATATGCACAAATATGCACAAAAAAATAAAATCGATGACAAACAAGAGGAAATTCAATAAGTCACCCAACAGCATAAAAGATAGCGATGGAAATCTTATCTCGGAGCCATCAACGATCTTAAAAACATGGAAATCATACATAGAAAAATTATTTGCATCTGACAGGACTGATGATCACCTATATGGAGAAGGAGAAACAGGACCTTCAATCTCTAAATCGGAGATGGAAGATGCCATTGCAGCACTAAAAAACAATAAGTCAGCAGGTCCGGACAATGTACCCTGCGAAATATTAAAGATCCTATGTAAATCAGACAAACAGTTCCTTGATAATCTAGTTGTACTTTTTAACAACATATATAATAGCGGTAAAATCCCGGAGAACTGGCTACAGTCAACATTTATTACAATCCCGAAGAAACCAAATGCCTAGATTTGTGATGACTACCGGCTTATAACCTTGATCAAGCATGTCACTAAAGCGTTCACTAAGATCATTCATAGAAGAATATATGATAAATGTGAGTCAAATATTGATAGATCGCAGTTTGGTTTTCGGAAAGCACTTGGAACTAGAGAAGCAATTTTCGCTCTCCAGGTGCTTATACAGCGGTGTAGAGACGTTGATAAGGACGTGTATTTGTGCTTTGTAGATTTTAGAAAAGCCTTTGACAATGTCAATCATGAACAATTGACAGGTATTCTGCGAAAGACAGGTATTGACGACAAGGACATTCGAATTGTGGCAAACCTATACTGGGGTCAAACAGCAAGAGCAAAAATTGGCAACGAACTCACTGAAAGTGTGCAGATCAAAAGAGGTGTCCGTCAGGGGTGTATATTATCCCCACTTCTATTCAATATGTATTCCGAGGAAATATTTAACAAATGTATGGAAAATGCAAATGAGGGCATAAAAATAAACGGCGAGTTAACGAACAATATAAGATATGCCGACGACACGGTGATCCTTGCCAGTACCATAGACAAATTACAACAAGTAATGGAAAGACTTTATGCAGTTAGTGAGGAATACGGCCTGAGCCTCAACTTCAAGAAGACAAAGTGGATGCTGATAAGCAAAAAGCAACAAGCTGCTCGACAATTACGGATAAGTAACATACTAATTGACCATGTAGAATCTTATGTGTACCTTGGCACCAACGTAAATGCAAAATGGGAACAGACCATAAAAATTAAGGCAAGAATAGAACGAGCTAGAGCAGCATTTAGCAATATGAAAAAGCTCCTCATAAGCAAGGATTTGTCTCTTCCCCTAAAACTACGTATAGTTAAATGCTACATTTTTCCAATCTTGCTGTATGGCGTGGAGGCCTGGACGCTGACGGAGACGCTAACGAGAAAACTAGAAGCATTCGAAATGTGGGTGTACCGACGCATTCTTCGTATATCATGGACCGAACATGTCACCAACATAGAGATACTCCAAAGAATCGGAAAGGAGAAAGAAATCGTGAATACAATTAAACAAAGAAAGCTTGAATATCTAGGCCACATATTGAGACACGATAAGTACCGTCTGCTACAATTGATTGTCCAGGGAAAAATAGACAGTAAGCGAGGGCCAGGCAGGAGAAGACACTCGTGACTCCAAAATCTGCGGAAGTGGTTCGGGCTCACATTGGTCGAACTATTCAGAAGCGCCGCAAACAAGATAAAAATTGCCATGTTAATAGCCAACGTTCGCAACGGATAGGGCACTTGAAGAAGAAGAAGCCATTGAAACCTGGACAAAGAAGTAAAAGATCAAGTACAAAAAGCAAATAGATTGGCAGGATGCCTTAATAACACTAAAGGGCGAAACCGACATATTAACACTGAGATGAAGTCAAGAATTTATAAAGCCAGTGTTAGACCAATAACATTTGTATCAAAAACAACACCCGGCACAGCCACAACACAAAGGCTACTGGGAATGGCATAAATGAGAGTACTTAGAATTACAGGAGATACGCTGTGAGATCAAAAGAGGAGTAAAGAAATTAGAAGAAAATGTAACATACAGTGTATAAACGAATGGACACTAAACATAAAAAAATGGAATAGCGGCATAAGCAGAATGGAAGAGACCAGTGTGGTCAAAATAGCAAGAGATAAATCTCCAATCGGTAAAAGAAGAATCGGACAAGCGCGCAAAAGATGGAGTGGCATGACAAACTTCCATAGAGGTACCAATCCGCCAAAAAACAAAAATCGTTTATAAAGAGAAAGAATAAGAAGAGAAGCTCAGGGTAAATTTTATTAGATTTGTTTTTAAGTTATTATGGCATGTTCTACATCATGCTTTAAAAATTTTAAGCTCTCGTTGATTTCCTCCAGAGTATTGTCAATTCTGTTTTCTTTAAAGAGTTCCTTAACATATATTTCTCATTCTTTTAATTTATCCTGATTGCTTTATATTTTAAGGAGGTTCTACTTCTGCGTTTATAAATTTTATTATTTCTGTCGCATTATGAAAAGCTAAAACAAATAAATCGTTTTGCAACACTGTCAGATAACATCATAGCTTGTAGAATAGTTGTAAGTTCTCGAACATTACAAAATTTCAAATATCCTGTCACGAAAGTGACAGATGTTAGACCTAATTTTACTAAATATGTCTAATATCCTGTTAATTGTCCATTCCATTCTTTTCTTTTTCGATATTTTTATGTATAAGCGAGAGCACCCACCAAACTGGCGTGACCTGTAAAATGGCAGTGACATAGCACGGGCGTGACACTGGCGTGGCAGGTAGCGCACACTAAAGTAGCACCAAAGAATATAGAATACGTCTATATTCTTTGGTAGTATGACATTAAAAAGGCTAGTTAAATTTAAGATGTCGTTCTCTGACGAGGATGAAGTTATGCTAACGCTTTTAACACCCTTTTTGGAAAGAGATGCAATGGCATACTTAATAGGTTTAATGTATTAAAGAATTAAAAAATTCCGGACTAGTGTTTTCATAGATATCTGGAAATTCCTCAATTAACGAGATAAAACGAATATTAAATTCTGCACTGCCTTCAATGGCATGTTTCAATTTTTTTACAAACACACATGCAAAATGCAAGTAGCACGTAGCAAAAAGAAGAATAAGCTCTATTTATTTTTTTTATATCTTTAACAAGCTGCATGACGCCACTGTCAGTGTTATTTTGGTATGCGCGAATCAATCGTTTGCATTGGTTACATTTTAAGTAACATGCTAGAAGCGCACTAATCGCTACATGCTACTTGCCATGCCACTTTGGTGGACGCTTTTACTATATACATATTTTTAAATTACAAAGTTCGTATTTAAAATACTTATATTTTTTAGACTAGCGATGATTTGTAGACGCAGATATTTACAAGGGCGGCATTTTCCTTGGTTGTGCATTTGGAACAGCCGCAATGTATATTTGGGCAGTTGGTATTCTCGCGGCAGGCCAAAGCTCTACTATGACAGGAACGTACGCCGGTCAGTTCGCCATGGAAGGTTTCTTAGACTTACGATGGTCTAGATGGAAGAGAGTCCTCCTTACCAGATCCATAGCCATGGTTCCTACTTTCTGCACAGCGTTTTTCACTTCGATGTCAGATCTTACAAGCTTAAATGACTACTTAAATGCGGTCATGAGTCTACAGCTACCGTTTGCTTTGTTGCCGACTATAGCGTTTACTAGTAACAAAAAGATCATGGGAGAGTTTGCAAATGGACTGTAAGTATTATATATAACATTTCATAAATTTCAGCATTTGTTGTTCGCTCCCATCCTATTGTCACAAGAACTCCCCGATATATGTACTCCACCTCCACCTCACCTCCACCTCTTCAATTTCCAGAATTTCTTCTCCTAATGCTATTTTCATATTTAGTTTTCTGATTTTCTTTTGCTTATTCTTCAGCTCCATGTATTTTGTTTTATTTATATTTATCTGTAACCCCATATTTTCTGCGGCGTTTAGAAGATTCTTAGCTATTTTTTATAATTTTTTTCTTCTCATAGCCAAAACTACAACATCATCAGCATAGGCTAGACACTCGTGACTCTTATTAAATATTGTTCCTACTCTGTTCATATTGCTGGCTCTTATTATCTTTTTAAGGGCTAAATTAAACAGCTTGGTGGATAGAGGATCCCCTTGTCTTACATCTTTCTAAACTCTAAAGTATTGACTCTTCTTTCCATTAATCTTAACTGCGCTTGCAGTGTTCTGAAGCGTCATATGTACCAGTCTGATTATCTTAGATGGGATTTTGAACTCCTGTAGTGCCTTAATCAGTTTTGATCTACTTACATTGTCATAAGCACCTTTAAAATCCACAAAGAGAAGATAGGTATGTATATGTAGTTCATATGCACCAGAGAAAACTTGTTTCAGTATAAATACATGGTCACTAGTTAATCGATTTCTTCTAAATCCAGCTTGATAGTCGCCCAATATATTTTCTGTGTACACTTCTATTTTTCTTTTTAGTTTGATTGCCAGTACTTTGTATGTGACACCCAGGAGTGCTATTCCTCTATAGTTATCACAACTTGACATGTCTCCCTTCTTATGTATTCGGTATATTATAAACTTGCACCACTCTTTAGGTATTATTTCCTCTTCTCAGGCATACAGACATATTAGTTGGTACATTTTTTCTCTTAGGTAGTCTCCTCCATATTTTAAGTGTTCTGCTGCTATTCCCTTTTCTCCAGGGCTTTTATTATTTTTCATTGCAGTTAAAACTTCCTCAATCTCAAGTTGGTCTTGCGAAATCTATTCCATCCATTGGTATTGATTTTCGTTTATTGTCAGTTTTCTCATCTATTTCACCATTCACGTATTCTTAGAAATATTGTTTCCATCTCTCTAATTGTTGTTGTTCATTTTCTATCAGATTGCCTTCTTTATCTTTAATGTCGTTTTTAAATTTTAACCTCTGCTTCTTATTTAACATGTTTGTAAAAATATTTTATATCCTTCATTTGGTATTTTTCTTCCATGTTTTGGATTAAACTGGTTTAAAAACACTTAAAAATTGTTTCCTTTCCAAACATTACAACACTATCTTCTTAATCTTATTTCTCCGATGTGCCGTCTTATTTGAGATTGCTTTAATTTTGTTTAGTTGGTCAATTTTCAACCATTTTCTTTATATACTGTTTCCATTTTGTTTTGTATGCTACTATTTTCTCACTGATCGAAAAGATATTAAGTTTTTCTACTAACATAATGTCTATTAAATCTTTTACTCTTCTGAGAAATCTCATTTCGCTTCCTAGAGATTATAGAGTAAGAAAGTAAGAAGTAGTATACATATAACAGAGTAGGAAGTAATGAGTTGCATTTTAACTTGATAAATGCGTTATCACATTCAAGTAAATAAGTTACCACATTTTACGAACATTGTAATTTTTAAACACTTTACATTTATAGTCTCGTGTCTCTGTTAGCAATAAACAATCCGACAATATATAATGTTTTAATAGAGTTTTTCGCAAAATCTAAACTCATGTTTTATCCTCATAGTATTCTTACTATAAAAATATATTCCATATTTTAGAGGTTCCTTGTTCACTTGATCTGGTTCAGTTGATTTTAAACTATACATGGTTTGCATTGTGATATGGTCAATTCCATTTAAATTTTGTTCTTCAAAGTACTCCTCTATACAGGTATTATACCACAGATTCTCATCATCTCATAGTGTTGCATGCATGTCGTTCGTTAATGACTTTTACGTCATCGGTATCTTTTTTCTTCTTCTTAACGAGCCTTATTAAGTCTCCTGACGATGTCGGGAAATCGGGATGTCAAGACGCTTTCTCTCTCTCTCTCTCTCTCTCTCTCTCTCTCTTTTCTCTCTCTCTCTCTTTCTTTTTGTCTTTCTCTATCTCTTGAGCTTATCCTGAACAGTTATTCAACTTCGTATTCCGGTCCATTCTCTGATATTCCAAAAATATTTTTCTGGATTTGACGCCATCAATCAGCTTATCAGTAGATTCTGCTCTGTTGAAAAATAATAACTGCTTTATTTATCTACTTAGCCGTCAACGGCTTTTTAGTGTTCCGTTATACAAACACATTTTAAAAGCTTCTAAGCGACTAATAGTATATATTTTCAAGGTTCATGCTTCGACTCCATATACAACTGACCATTTAATCAAGCGTTTCTGAATTTGATGTTTCAATATATCGTTACATAAGAGTGATCTCATTTTTATAAAAATTGTACGACCCATCTCAATTCTAGGTTTTATCTCTTTATTTGGATCTAATTGTTCAGTTATATAACAACCTAGATATTTCAAAATTGATACCCTTTGTATTGGTTATCCATCTATTTGTAATTGTATATTTTTAAAAGGTAAGCGACTATAAATACCATGTATTTTGTGTTCTTCTTCTTGATCTTCTTTTTGTGTAGACATACCTCTGTCTGTTATTGTTCTGAAGCTATTTTCTTGTGGCATTGTAAATTAATTACTATTTATAACTGGGAATAAGCCACAATTAAAGATAAAAATACGTTTATTGACGTTTCAATTTCCAATTCGGAAATCGTTCTCAAAATACAAACAGTAAATTGACTATTTGTATTTGGAGAACGATTTCCGAATTGGAAATTGAAACGTCAATAAACGTATTTTTATCTTAATTGTGGCTTATTCCCAGTTATAAATAGTAATTAACTCTGTCTGTTAGTCAATATGCCTCCAGTAAGTTGTCTTTTCATCATTTTCGTAGTCTTCCCACTGATCGTCTTCTTATTGGAAAACCGTCTCTCGCCGTTTTTACTAATCTATTTGTTCTCATTCAGTTCTCATATGATCATTCCATTCTACCCTTCTATTTCTACCCAATCCCTAATATTCTTGACCTTGCATCTATTTTCCCATAGTGTCTCAGCATCCTATAGTGTCTCAGCATCGATTTTTTTAATGGATTTCATCTCTGCTGTTTTTAGTATTCTATTCCTCCTCTCTGTACCAGATCGTGTTTCTGTCGCATACGTCATTATTGATCTGATGATTATTTTTTAAATTCTGACTTTTATTCCTTTCATATTTTGTTTTAGAACAATTAATTTTTAGTCACATCTCCATCCCACTATAAAAGACATTGCTATCCATTTAAGTCATCCTCTCAATATAACTGTGTCATCTGCGTATCTGATGATATTTATCAGTTTTTTATTATTTTTTATACTATATTCCAAGTTGTGCAAAGCACGTTTAGAAATTATATCTGAATATAAATTAAAGAATCCTTACTGTCTTCTATCCTCTTCTCCAACTCCTCTTCTCCGTTTTTTGATAATCGATAAAAACGACAAAGATATATTTTAGTTGATCTCGACATTTCTGTAGCAAAACATTCAGTGTAAAAAGTTCTTGTCTAGTTCCCATTCAATTTCTAAATCCAAACTGCGTTTCATCTTTGTCTTCTTCACAGCCATTCCTTATTCAATTGTTGATGATACGTAGGAATATCTTTAAGACTTACAAGTTTACAGTCACTACAGTGTTTCGGACTGTTTTTTTGTGAAATTATTAATTCAGACCTCCACCAGTTATCTGCGATTTGACCAGTTGGTTACACATGATTGAGAACCTTAACCAATATTTTAATGTTTTCTTCGTTAATTATTTTAAATATATCTGCCGGTATGTTATCACAGCCAACAGCTTTCCTATTCTTTGCCTACTTTATAGCATGCACTACTTTTACCTTTAGTATTTCTGGTCGTTCTTCTTCATCTAATGCCTGCTGTTCTTCTGGTCTGGCGTCATTAAATAGTTCATTTATGTCTATACCAAGTTGTCCCAATTTCTTTTTCATTAAAGTTGATCATCATTTTCACTATCGAGTCTACAATTGTATGAGTTTTCTTATGTTAGAGGCCAGCTATTTCTCTTCTTTTTTCTTATATTCCTTCGAGTTGTTTCTTTGTTGTCTTCTCTGCTTCATCAATTTAAGAATTTCGTTGGTCATCTATTGTTATTTGTTTGCCTTTGATTCTTTTTAGTATGTTTTTATATTATTGTTGAGATATAGTCTTTAAACAATTTCCATATTTTTGCACCATTGCCTTCATGTATTATTTTACTAAGCTGGCTATTAAGATCTTCTATTTGTTTTTTGTTATATTTACTTTTTATGTTTTCGGACTTTTTGAAATTTTGAGCTTGACTTTGATGTCAGCTAATTATCTCTTGGTTCCTTCCATGTATTTTTTTCTTTTATTCATTTATTTTATCATTTTGTAGATGAAAATTTGTCTCCCATGTACATGTTTTACAATTTTACCATCAAACGTCTACCGTGATTGCTGATCGTCGAAATAATTTTTTGCTTCATTTCAAGCTTTATTTTATATTTCTTTATTTTCTTCAGTCTTATTTTGGAAGTACCTACTCGTACCCTTTTTTTCAATTACTGTAATTTTCACTTGTTGGTTTTACTATTCGAACCCTCTCCTGCTTTTTATTTTTTTTTCTTGCCTAGGGTCTCATAAGCTGCTTTTTCGATACATGTTCTCAAATTCTCCTTGAATGTTTCCTACATTCTTTTTCCAGATATTGATTTAAGCGTTGTTGGTAAAGAACTTTTTTTTTTAGCCAGTATTCACCTATTTCTGGAAATAGACCTCTTTCATTTCTTTCCACTGATTTCCATACTACGCGATTTGTATCCTCTTTTTACCTGCTATTTCTCCTATGTCGTTTATCTATCCTGTCTAAGATGTATGGGTAAGTCTTTATCTTTTAGTATATCGACCATTATACCCAATACCGTCCATGTTAAACTTACATGTCTTGCAATTTCTGTTCTTTGGTTTCCCTTGCCCAATTTGTACTCAATGACTTTTTTTATCGAGATGCATTTGTTAATATCTTTACTGCTCAGTATTTTTGTTTTTCCATAATTCATTTGAAGCGCTATATTTTTAGAAGTTTTGTTTAATTATTTTATAGACATATCTTCTGAATTTTCTGCCATCAAAAGCATGTCACCTGGAAACCTCAGATCGTTAAAGTATACGCAGTCAATATTTATTTAGTTTTTGGTTTTTTTTTCTTTAATTAAAGATTAGGTTTTTCAAAGTTTTCTTCGGCGGGTGGCGTAATTGCATCTTCAAGGGTTCTTTTTTCGGTTGCTTTGTTAGAAGATATCCAATAACATCGTAAAATAAAAAATAAGAACCATGTCATCTGCAAACCTCAGATCGTTAAAGTATGCGCAGTCAATATTTAGTCCTTTTGTGTGGCACTTTCGTTTTTTTTAGACCTCTTCAAGTGCTAACGTGAATAATTTAGACGATATCATATTTACTGCTTTACCTCTAAGATTAACTGGTATTTTATTAGTTTTGGTGTTGTCATCTATTGCAAAATGCATCGAGGAATTTTCGTATATGATTTGTATTATCTAGCTAAATGTACCTAGAGTCTATTCTTGTATTTCTAGTTCATTGCATTTTCTAGGGATCTTATAACTGACCAAATTGCAATAAAATCAAAGGCTTTTCTATAAAAATCTATTCATTCGTAAATAATGAAGGTCGATTGTATTGAATGCTTTCCAGACCCAGCCTGTTCTTCCGCTTGGTCTAAGTCCAGTTTTTTGGTTAAAAGATTTGTGATAACTTTCATGAATAGCTTATAGGTAGGACAAAAAACTATTACACTGAAAAAATTATTCAATACAACATCTAACTGATCTAAACAAGAATAGTGACAAGTGTTAAATTTATAAATATAAATCTGCTATTTACTTTTGTTGCAGAATTCTAAACGCTGTGTCGATATGTCTGGCAGTCATCATAATCTCGATCAACATCTTCTTCGTGTCAGAAAAACTATATGAAGCCAATTTGCCGTTATACGCTCTCGTGATAATATGTATAGTGGCTGTTGGCTACTTTATACTCGTTGTTTACATCTCTATCCACCTCTATGTTGGAATGGTTGGAATAGGACTAAACGAAAAAAACTCATACGTGGAAAAATTCGTGATGGTACCTATGAAAAGGCCTCAAATTGTAAGCCCGTAATTTATTGTATTTTTTTATGTAAATATATTTTTTTATAAAACATACGTTTTTTTCTAATACCAGTTCACCTTAATTAGTCCAGGCTGTGAGGCCGCTCTCGTTGGGAAAATGTTTCTGATTCGGTTTCTTCGCGGATTCCGGTTCAAAAATGTCCCCTTTAAACAAATCTGAAGGGTGCCGGGCGAAATTTTTGGGCAGAAATTGTTTAAACAATTTTTTTTAAACAAATTCCAAAAATATATTTTTTTTAATCTGGAAAACGTTTTTTTAGGTTTTTTGGGTCATTCTAAACAAAAAAGGTCTCTTGTCATTTTTCTCTTAAGTTGATAGTTTTCGAGTTATAAGCGATTTAAAGTCTAAAAAACGCGAAAATACGCATTTTTGAGGCTTGAAAACACATATGTAAATTATTATTTTTGAGGTTACCAAGTGTCTAAATTGAAGTTTAAACATTCAACTTCAAGATTGTGAAGAGTAACCGGGGCTTATTTTAATTTAGACCGTTGTTTTTTAATTGTTAAATATGCGCGTACACTCGATTTTTCAGCCGCCGCGGCGCGGCGCGCTAGAGTGCGCTTCTATCGTACTTATGCATAGTTTACATATACACTTACGCAAAAAAACCCGAACAAATCCTTGAAGTTTATTAACATAGTTTTTTCCATAATTTATTAATGTAGGTATTAATTATTGTCATTGGGCTAATTAAATAAATCAATCATCGCAATGTAATAACCGTATATAGTTTTTTTTTTCTTCCAAATTTGAACAACATAATTATTATTTATTGAGTATATATTTATTTATATCAATTGTAAATAATATTTTTAAATTATTATTTAAATAATACAATGCAGTAAATATTAATATAGTAAACTTAATTTTAAATTGCGCGGTGTTTAAAAAACAATATACTATCGCAAAAATGCAAGTTACCTGTTTAACAATCGCGCGCTCGTACTTGATTTGATATTAATTAAACGACCATTAGGAAGACTATTGTTTAATGCCCATTAAAAGGGTATTATATTATTAACGTGTTATTAAAAAAATTGTGAATAGATTTAAAATGTCTTTTTCCGTACCTCTTCTTAAATGAAAACTTACCGAAGAAAATTTAGTTTGTATTTTTTGTAATAACATCAACAATATTAAGTTAGTGCAAAAACCTAAAGTAGATTTTTACATAACAATACAAAATGCTGCTCTTCGACGAAAAGACAGTGTAACTGAAAAATTTAATTTAATCTAGCCAATATACCTTGTACCTCTGACGCACTTTACCAACACTTGTTACGAGCTTTCACTAAAACATATATTTGGCGAAATGCCATATATTCCCGCTATCAAACTCTCGATTTTACACAATATGGATATTATATGTCTGATAGTGGTGGGTTGGGAAACCGTGCAAATGCAAAAAGACTTGCAAAACTAATGCTTGCAACTGCAAGAAAAATCATGTCAACTGTGTACCATTATGTGGATGTGATTTAGATTTTTGTGAAAACAAAAAAACTTTTACTGAGTGATATTAGTGTGTTATTTAACAATCTTTTGTACAATTATTTTAAGTAACTATTATTAGACTTTAGACGAAATTTATATTATAACTCACTTGATATAAATAAATATATACTCAATAAATAATAATTATTTGTAAGTATATGTAAACTATGCATAAGTACGATAGAGGCGCACGGTAGCGCGCGGCGCCGCGGCGGCTGAAAAATCGAGTGTACGCGCATACTTAACAATTAAAAAACAATGGTCTAAATTAAAATAAGCCCCGATTACTCTTCACAATCTTGAAGTTGAATATTTAAACTTTAATTTAGACCCTTGGTAACCTTAAAAATAATAATTTACATATGTGTTTTTAAGCCTCAAAAATGCGTATTTTCGCGTTTTCAGACTTTAAATCGCTTATAACTCGAAAACTATCAACTTTAGAGAAAAATGACAAGAGACTTTTTTTGTTTAAAATGACCCAAAAAACCTAAAAAAATGTTTTCCAGATTAAAAAAAATTATTTTTGGATTTTGTTTAAAAAAATTGTTTAAACAATTTCTGCCCAAAAATTTCGCCCGGCACCCTTCAGATTTGTTTAAACGGGACATTTTTGAATCGGAATCCGCGAAGAAACTGAATCAGAAACATTTTCCCAACGGGAGCGGCCTCACAGCCTGGACTAAATTGAAAACTTCAAATTTCAATGATTGTTTTTGAAGATTATTATTGTTGTAAGTAATAAATCGATAGAGAAAAGAAAAGGTATCCAAGAACATCGTAAAATAAAAAATAACAAGTGTATTAGAACAAAAAATAAAGATGACATCAAGCAAACAGAGAACTACTGAGGAAAACTGGGCGGGAATTAAAGCTATACTAAAGACTTCAAAAAACAAAATTAAGTGCAATAAAAAACAAAAATAAAACAAAGGTAAATGACAGATGAAATACTGAGACTCATGGTCCAATAAAGATGAGTCAGAAATAAAGATCAAAACGAGTACAAGGGCCATAAATTTAAAGATAGCCTTTAAGATAAGTTATTGTGTTAATGTTATGTTTTTTACTAAGGCTTCCTTTATATTATTTGGGATAGTGTGCTTCTTTCTTTGCTGCGTCATATGTTTTGCACTGAGTTATAGTTTATTTTTATGAACGAGAGAGTAATTAGCATAATTTTAACTGGTAGAATTATTTCAGTGTTATAAAGTGTTATGTATATGTAAACAAAAGTGACCTCTTTTATCACACACTATATTAGAACTGACTGGCCTACATTAAAAAGGGGTTTTAAAAAATTCACATTTTTTTTAATTTTTAAAAATTACAAAAGAGAAAAGAGTTTTTAAAACCGTCTAAGGTATGTTAAATAGATGAATAAAAATATTAATATAAAACTTACAGCTACTTGTTACAAATCCAAATCAGATTCAGAAGATGAACTTTCAGAACCAAGATTTATAATAACTGGCTCGATCATTTTATCAGTAATATTGTCCAGCCTCCACATTTTTTCCTCTTCTTTAATAGTGTGATTTACTGCCTTTTCCCAGTTTTCAGGTTTTACATTATTTACGGCCTCCAAAAACAACTGTTTAACATCATGAATTTTAAAAGTGGTATTTTTTCTTGAAACTTCACTCTTTATCTGTGCCCATACCAGTTCAATCGGGTTTAATTCACAATGATATGGTGGGGATCTAAGTACTGTCATTCCACAATTTTTGGCAATTTCATCAATTTCGTATTTTTTAAACTTTTCTTTATGAAGGGCACACAACGAATAAAGTTCCTTTCTTATAGATCCGGGATGGTACGTAATATTTTTAGAACTCAGCCAATTCTGCAAGTCTTTTTTTAACCACTTGGTTGTGGGCAGTCCTTCTATAAGTCTGGAGTGATAACTTGCATTATCCATTACTATTACACAGTTCTTAGGAAGAAGATCTATCATTTGTAAGAACCATTCTTGAAAGATATCAGCGTTCATGTCTTCATGGTAGTCACCGGTATGAGTTGATTCAAAAGTTAATAAACCACCTTCAACAAAACCGTCTGAACTGCCAATGTGTACTATTATCAGCCTGCGTCCCTTTCCTGATGGTGGGTTTAAACCATAGATAAGTTATTTACAAAATCGTGCCTTTGACTTGTAACAGTTTCATCCTATCAAAATTTATTTGGTGTATGACCCTCGTTGATCCATGTTTCATCAAGATAAAATATTTTTCTTTTTTGGTTTCTCATTTCCTTTATGGTTCTTAGAAAATGTCTTCTCCATATGACAATATCGCTTCTTTCTAATAAAATAGACTTTCTGGGATTCTTTTTCCAGCGGAAGCCTATTTCTTTTAAAAGTTTCCATAACGTACTTCGACTCATTTCTGGGTAATCCTTATCATCTCGAACTGAGACAAGAACTTTATCCAATGTTGGAAATTCTTGTCTAAAGAAGAATTCATGCACTTTCCGTCGAAGTCCTTCTTTAAAATGATATTCTATTTGAAATTTTGGTTTCCCTGGAGCATTACGTGGCATTTGAAAACTACCACATTTCTCTTCTTTAATAACTCTGTAAATCATAGATTTCCCAACACCAAGTGTACTGCTAACTAACTCAACGGTCTCAACACTTTCACATAAACGTTTGTCTGTAAATGATTTAAAACAATTAAATATTAATATTTTTTCATTAACTGTTAAAGGACCAATTTTTCGGCGTTTACACGGCACTTCCAAATTTTCCATAACACTAGTATACACAATAAACTGCACCTTGCAACTGAAGTACCTACTTTTAGTGAACTGTTAAGAATTTTGAATACGCCACTTGGACCTTCCTACAAAATGGAAAAACCCACTATCACATTTTCTGTGGAATAAGTTTAGAAGGTAATTATCTAGTCAATTACTGTCGTAGATTCCTGGAATTAAAGAATTAAATGTTTGATTGTTGAAACCTTTACTTCGTGGAATGCACTTATTTCAGATAAAATAAAACGTTTTATTTTATCTAAAGAATAAAACTTTATTTTGCAAATAGGTAGGTACTTATTAAACTTTTATTGGTTATATATAACCAATAAAATAAACATCTTACATTTCTTGCAAATTCATTAGTACCTGTTAATCTCCATCACTCCGACACTGGCAACCTTATTTAGGGATTAGTAACCCTCACAACTATTGTATTCTATTCTGCTCCAACCTTTATACTTGGTGGTCATACTCAATTTAAAATTGTTTTCCTATATACTTCTGTAGACTTGTTGACAAATATCTGTTTTTCATTGAGTCGCCCTATCAACAGTTTAGGGATTTGCATACATAATTTATTGTTTTATTACTCTCTCATACATAAAAATACACTATAGTATATGCTTCGCGGAGAGTGTTACTTGATAAGTTTCACACAGTGTTTATGTGCTAAATTACTGTGTCTTAGTCGCAAACGTGTTATTCTCACTTAGTCGTGTCTATTCGCTGTGGGTTGGAGCCACGGTATCACTAATTGTTTGATTTCC